GGGGGACAGGGTGGGACACTTGAAAAGGGATAAGAAATCGGTGAGGAGTTGAAAGAAGTTCAGAAGGAAGAGTATAAAAATGCATGAAAAGTATCGAAAAGTGGAATAAAAAAAGGGAAAACGTGTGAAAAAGAAATGGAAAAATGGAAAACATGAAATATGAAAATGGAAAAGATCCAAAAAGGAGGGATTTACGAGCACATGACCTATCTCCTACTGCCCGATTGCTAAACGTTCATTTGYACATATCGCCATTCGCCCCTTCAACCTTCAAGTTTTGAAATAGCTGCATGTATATCACAAGAAAGAAGAAACTCAAGAGAAAAATGCTGATAGATCGAGTACATGCACTAAACCCGTGAATAATATTTAGTACTAATTAGAAGTAATTCATACAGAATCCTTTGTTTCTTATTGTTTGATTATTACAATTTAGTACTAAAAATTAGTATTTGTTTCACGGGTTTAGTGCGAGCACTCTAGACAAAAAAACTTATCTATAAAGAAAAACAAAAGAACCTATTTAAGCGGATATTCCTTTATGAGAAGGATTATAGAATGTATAATAAAATACGACCTCATAAAACGTACGAAGTCAGAGGAAAAAGATATATTGATTTGGTGAGTGAAATCAGAGCAATAAATCACTTGATTCATGAAGGGAAAAAAAAGGGCTGATTTATTAGATTTTTTACGAAAAGGATTATAGGCTGTGCAAAGAAATATCAAGTATTACAATCTTTAGACAATAAGGTGGAAAAGGAGGAAACAAAATAGACTTTAAGCCACTTAGCTTTAAGGTTTGTTAGGACAATATCAGCACTATGAGGGGTTTGGGGAGAGAGAATTTATGTCAGCGGTCGATCTATGCCCGTCTGTCGATTAAGACTTTTTACTAGATAAAATTATGAAGTTTACCGTTCCTATTTTATCATTTTATTTGTGTTTGACAGAAAAATATTGAAGAATTCATGAATGTAATGGTCGCTCAGTTGGTCTAGATTGACTGGTTGTACTGTACGACGCTTATCTTACACACAACTGATAAACCACTGTCTTGAACTGGTAATGGCAAGCACGCGCTAACAAACCAATATGACAGAATAAGATATTCTACTCCGTGAAAGAAAGATTAAAGATACAAAACATGTCAGATTTGGTTTTCACACCAAATTACCTTATAACTTTATTTTAGGATTTTTCATTCGTTCGTGATAAAAATTGGGAGGTGTTTTACACTTTATTTTTTCAGCTGTCTTCGTTGTCGTGCAGAGAAATACTTGATGAATACTACTCCAGATTTTTCGATATTTATCGCAAATTTAAAGATATTTTCACTAGGCAATTCTAAATGTGTTTTAGCAACGTACTCCTCCTAAATTTCAGTGTAATGTTTTTTCAAGTATGATTTATTTTGACCTTAAATTTCTTGATTTTTGATTGACATATTAATCCACGGTTTCTTCAAACGTAATATTATTTGCTGCCGAGTTTTTCAACGCTAAACAAATTTCATGTTTTTTTAATGCTTCGGCATGCTTCAGCATGATCGTGTTAATCACTTATTCTTTTGTAGGRTTCTTGTTTTGGAGTTTTCGTCGCGAAAAAAGTAGAAGTAAAGTAAATTAGATATTATACTGCTTTGAGATATGTGCTATTCCTGTTCGGCCGTTATCTTGAATAACGGTAGGGAACTAGTACCTTTATGTGTATATAGTAGTGACAACATTGGTGTACGACTACAGAAATAAGATTTACAATTCAACACCGAAAAATATTGGAGTAAACTTCTTTTAAATGTCCGTGAGAGYGTTGCTTTGAAGTTTTATTTCTGTTTTTAAAAGCGTATGAGAAGTCATGCTGTCAACTTTAATGAGTAACGAGTCAAGTCACTCGTTTGTACAGTATGTTTGTCAAGTATGTACGATGAAGTAAATGAGTCTATCTTTACACTTTTGCATAACACGTTCAACTATAAAATATTCACAGCGTTTAAAAATTCGTTCTAGTAAAGGGGAAAGGATAAAATTGATTAAGAAGACAAGTAGTTGGTTTAAAAAAGCTTTGTTAAGTYAGAACGATACAGAAATGAAAACACATACCTGTACACAACTGGCGATTCAACCACAGATATAATCTTCCAAAAAAAAAATCGAATTCCCTGGCTTGAATTGTCGGTTGTAAATCTATAGCTCAGTTTTAACTGTTCACGCTTCCTTTCTCATGCACTGCTGCTCTCGTTTCCSGCCATAAATGCGTCAAACCTCGATAAACCTTGAAGAACGTTCACTAGAAGTACGCGGCTTGCTAATGTGTAGGTCAATTCTGGTCAAGATTTTCATTTACATTTATTGATTTGCATAACTAAAGAGACTGATGTATTGTTTGTGGGCATCTAAAGTTAGTGAAAGGTGACTTTGAGGCGTATTGGGCGATGTATGTCAACAAATAGGGTCCTATGAGTTAAATGAGTGATTGRATTTTCTCGCGTCGATGCTGCGTTGAAACGACCGGGACGCGATTAATTATGGATCACCTCAATTTCACCGTTAATGTACTTTCACAAGCTGTTATCGTTAAACTTCAGCATCTGCTTTAGCTGCTTCTTGCAGAAGTGTTTTTTTTTAGTATCGTATTTTTGATGTCATGAACACTTTGTATTCTTCTTTTGAACTAATGTTAAGTATTCGAAGACGTTCGTGAAAGACTCATCGAGTCTACTGTCCCTGATCAATTATTGGATCCCGCCACCCACACATTATCTTGYCCTCCTACATATACGAGCTACAAATTCAAATATCCAATGCACGTCAAACTTCATAGAAACATTTTGCTCCATAAAGAAAAATATTTACAGTTCAGGCGAATCCTCTGCAAGTGTGTTCGAAATTCTTTTGAATGACAGCGATTAGTCTCATACAGCGCATTGTTTTACGTCGAACTATGTTGCTGGTCAGATTCATTAATCTTTCAAAAGCTTTGATAGAAGGTTCACTCCTTGTATTCTTTGCGGATTTGACTTGTTAAGACATAGTAAGGAGAAAACTGTCATCCTCTTTTTTTTATAGACAAACTCCCTAATCGTCTCGATTTGAATAAATTCAATCGGTCACCAGTGTGATTGACACAGATATAGCATCCTTACGAGAAACACCTGTCACAGATAAAACATCAAAAACTATACTCTTAAAACCTTTATGAGGTTAATCATAATGTTTCATGTAAGGAGATTTCGGCTTTTGATATTTGAAAGGCCTCCATATTTTTCTGGAGATTCACCCTCAAGGGATGCTAAAAAGGCGCCAAAGAGAATGAGAATAATTCTGTCAGATATGAACTCGGGGTATATTTGTTCTCCCATCAAAGTCAGGTTTAAAGTCATAAATATTATGAATTTCTGCTGAACTAATGAGCAAAACCGAGCAAGCATAAACAGTATGTTTCATTATTTTATTTTACTGCCTTCAAAGAAAAAAAAAAAAAAAAAAAAAAAAAAAAAAAAAAAAAAGGTGGAAAATTTTGATTTTCTTCCTTTTCCCCCCATGGGAATAGTTGCAAATTCGTAGTAATCGGTTTATTCTTCCTTAATTAGGAAGCTTTTTATCACATAATAGCCTCGTATTCGATAAGATTAATCAGTTTTATTTTGGCTTCCAACAGCCAGTAAATTAACCCAACTTGGTTGAATTCCTAGCGTTTAGATKCAGTATTTTTACGTCAACATAGCAATGCTTTGTTTTCGTATTTGACAAGCCAGTTGTTGTCATATTGAATCAAAAGCTTTTACCTTTGAACCAAAATATTRAAAAATCGTCTAAACGGTTGAGGATGAAATGAGATTTTCATTACTATCGGTGCTGATGGCAGTAACATGTCAGTCAGAACGTCAACTTTTCGTGCGAGACACAAATTGGCAGAAAATATGAAGTCATATGATTGGTAAAAAATCTTTCGTATACGCTGCACAAACACGCTCGTTAATTATCAAAAACCAAAAGCGGTTAAAATTAAAAAAAACAAACTACTTTGGTGTTTTTTTTTACAGGTGTCGTGTCATTCTCTTGGATATGACTTCTTTCTCTATTGGCCAGCTTTCAAAAGATTACTTACATTATGATAATGACTATGGTCGATTATGGAAAAGTGGTTACTGATGATAGCCGATCGTTGAGAACAAGTGCCTTATGTCAAGGGTGACCTTTGAAACCTAGGTGGTCGTTTATTACAAGGGTGGTCGTGATATAACAGGCGACCTTTAAAACCAATGGCTTCCCTTATAGTAAGATATTTGCTAGAGCCAAGCGACCTTTGAAATCAAGGTGGTCGCTTACTGCAAGGGTGGTCGTAATATATTAGGCGACCGTAAAACCAATGGGTTCACTTTTAGTAAGGTATTTAAGGCGACCTTTGAAACAACGGTGGTAGCTATGGGCGCGTAGTTATTAAAAAGCTTTTCAGATCAAAGTCCTGCGATTCAGTTTTTTTAATGTGTATTGAATACTACAATTGTGTACAGTATTGGATTTATATTTACAATTTCATTCAATCAATATACAGATGATATCATTTCGCTATGCATGTCATTACGAGGTAAATTCAAATAATTCCTCTGATTGAATGTACCTCTTTAGCTTAGTCGTAATGTTATTCCATTTCAAATCACGTTATTAAATCTCTTGAGTATTATTTCTATGTTTAACGGTTGCGCATAGGTTTTCCTATTTCAGACTACTGGTCATTCCCTTGAGCATCATTTCTTTGTTTAAAGGATACACATGAGAAGACACATGAAAATGGATACAATTCAAACCGATAATCTTATTCCTGAGAGAAGACAMGTCTGAAATTGAGCTTATTCTGTTAATTGCTAGATAATTTTGAAAAAAACGAATGATAAAATGCAGTAAATCTGATCTGAGGCACAGAAAAGAATGTTTGGTTGAGCTAAAAATAAAACACGTCTTGCAACGAGTACAAGGATTGTAAAAGCTAGAAGAGTGTTTAGCAAAGTTTATAATCTTCATATCCGACACTCCTTCAGGAAGTCATACTCCACTCTAGAGTATGTCATAGCTTTAGGAGATTTGCTATCGACATTTGAGTCTATCGCATAACTATCTCTCTTAGTATCTTTATCTATCAATCTAAGATAAGCACTTTAAGAATGACTCTTGAAACACCAGGGATTTGTGTTTCCGTGYGTCCGAGAGAACATTCAGTCCACTTTGATGCAAGAGATAAAACAATTGCAAGTGAGTGTATGCAAGAAAGAAAGAAAGAAAGAATGCATGCTAGTRGGCTCGATTGTGGACGGTTCTACGACACATGAAACTTACTTAATATTTACAACGATTATYAGTCTGGCGTACTTTGTCAGTCCCTGTCGGAAGGCAATTACAAGTTTCCTATTCTGTTAGAATGATACGTCAAGAACATTTGTAAAAATCATTCCAAGTACTTTACTTTTGAATTTTAAAAACCTTACTTTATGCTTTCCCCCCCAGAAACATTTCCCTTTTTATAGTCGTCTAGTACTTTCCATAAAACCGGATTTTTTCGAGTTAAGTGAAAATTAATCCTTCCTAAGATCATCAGTATACTTACGATAGAGCTATTATAAAATACAGTGGGGAACCTAAAGTCCTAGAGCAAAAAGACAAGCGCGCGTGCGCTCCGTTCCSGCCAAATCTACGACAGGAACTCCGCCAACGTAAAACAAACAAACAAACAAAAAACCGACTCAACGAAAACGAAACAACAACGACGACAACAACGCAAAATCGCTAAAACAAACTCTAAAAGCCGCTCARAATTTCTCTCATTTTTGGCTTTTAAAGTCAAAAATATGAATGAAATGGAAAACTGAATTATGAGAGGGGGTACTCGTTACTACTGTCATGTCACCCCTAGCTCTCTACGTCATTGGATTCTAATTCTCTRCAGAAACTGTTATCATAAAAGAAACCTTATATTTCCTACAATCTTGAGTCTCTCTCTTAAGATTCACACAAGGCCTCTTCCATTAACTGATATAAGGGATCGTTTTACGTTTGTTTTTCTTAACTTTAT